TACCGGGCTTGCCTGAAGCTCAGTCGCCTCCTCTCGCCCCAGCCTGAAGGGTGCCAGCACCCGCCCTGTCACGGCGCCTCAGCGAGCACCTCCATCCTCCTGGCAGCTCCGTGCTGGCCGGTGGGGCTGAGCCGGGCCCAGTGCTGAGGCAGTGCTGTAATCTGAGGCCGTCCTTCTCCTCAGGCTCCTTTTCATGAAAAGCCTTAGAAAAAAAGTGCTTTTTCCTCCTCTGCAGCCTTAGGGGTTTTTTTTCGGAGTCGGCAGTGGCTGAGATTTGGGACTGTTATGTTTGGCTGCTGCCGCAGGCACACAGGCAGCTGTGAGAGGGGAGGAATTCCTCAGACTCCACTTGTGAGCTCTTGTATTAGGATTTACTCCAGCTTCTCCCTTCTGTTGCCTTACCAAGGGGAGCTGGAAGCATGGATACACCTGGCTGGTAGACTGGAGCCTGAGGGAGACATGGGAAGGGAGTGATTTTCTGTTGGTTACAGAACAGAGTCAAGAGATGTTGCTGTCTGCTGGAGATTTTCCGCACTTCTCCAACTGACATCATAAACTAAGCTGACAGATCATTCTCCCTATCTAATAGTTGCATCTACGGCAAGAGGTTTTGTTGGCAATGTATTAACCTGAAGGTGCGGGTTTTTTTCACGTTTCCACTGAATTGGGAAAAGAACTTTCCCACTAAAAACAGTGATGTCAGCTGGGCGTTACCACTTCAGGTTTCCTACTATTATGAAATACTTTTACAACAAGAAAAAGTCCCTATTTTGTAGTCTCGATTTTAAAAAACCCAGCCTCCCTCTCCAGTGCTTTCACCCATCTGAAATAGCCCTCAGGATGAGAACTGTATCAGATCTGCCTCTACAATGCTTATCCACATTCCCTGCGATATTGCCAGCACTTCCCAGCTGCCGGATAAACAACCGCCCATCAGCTGGCAGCAGTTGCTTCATTTTGGGTATTGCCAGCCTTCCCGAAAACGGGGTGAGGTGCGTTGGATCTGCAGGTGTAAGCCTGACTGCATGGGAGTCAGAGAAAACAGACACTGAATTAAAAGGTGGTTTCAACAGCCAAGAAACGGGGCAGCTGCAGCAGAGAACTGCTCGTTCACATGCTTTTCTTTAAATCTAACATTATGAACTGATCAATAAAACTCCTACATGAATTCAATCATATAAAGTAAGAATCCCTTTACTTTTACATTACACTAATCTTACCAGGCATCATACTTGTTTTTAATCCACCTTCTGTTGAAAGATTGCAGTATGTGAAGTTTTGAAGCCCTGGTAGTTTGGGCCAACACCTGTGTTAGATGAGCTACAAACACCTTTGCCGTGAATGGCACCCCAGAATGACATTGAAAGTTTTGGGTTGTTTGTAACATACCAAGAAGTGATGGAAATGGAGTTTTAAGTCCCATTTGCAGACTTAGCTCAACTTTCATTTGAGCTACAAAAATGTACAGTGCTGCTGATTCAAAGGAAACCCACAGCAGGTGAGGTGTGCTGGAGTCTGTTCAGAAGTGATTCGGGAATCGTTCGTGTCCCACTACAGACCCACGCTGATTAATCACATCGTCCTAGCTCCCGGTGTATTCTGGTTATTTACAATGACTGTCAAAACATTCCGATAACATAAAAACATTTCAGAGTAAATACAGAAGAATGTTTTTCCACTTGATTTATTTTCATAATAAACCAATTAAAAATACAAAAGACAAGGACCCAAGGTTCAGAGGGCTCCATCATTTAAAAATTTGTCTTTAAATACAAATTCACTCTGTAATATGGATACATATAACATTAGACCTCTAAACATAATGATCTTATTTGCATCTATCAAAAATTCATATGGAAACAAATTAGCTGAAAAAACTTCCTTGTGACATTGAATGTACATTATTTACAATCAAAAAAGCTCTCTTAGCAGTATTAATCTCCAAATACCTGCATAAATTGTATATATTTCATTTCCCTCCCCCCTTACAAAATAATCTGAAGTAGAAAGCAAGATTGTTAAGCTTCATAGTTGCAAAATGGCCTGAAACGTTTGCACCTGTAGTGATGCCGTTAGCTTCTGTCATTAAATATATCTGATGTTTTCATATAAAATACAGACATGGCATTGTCCATTACTGGAATAAATGTTTTGCGTACTCTCAATAGGAGTGTATATTCCATTCTGCACACACAAGAGCTTGTGCTGCAAAAATTGCAAGAGGATACCTGGTTATCAAAGTCTAAAACTGGTGTCATTCACCAGTATAAAACCCATACTTGCTCATAAAAATTCATATGCATGGAATGAAAACGTCCCACTAAAAGTAACTGTTGCTTTAAAAGTTAAGTGATACATGTACAGATTAAACAGAAAAGGTTATAACAACATTACTGCAATGCAGATTGGCAAGAGACTGAAAAGATACAGTAAGAAAGAAGTTTGAAACTTTGGCCAACAACCTCAGGAGAAAGTCTTCATAGCATAAAAAGCATGTTCCTTCATGCCTGTATTCTGAAACACAAGTAATATATGATTTTATTTATATGATAACATTGAGCAATTAACAAAATCAAAATCCATTCTAAAGCATGAATTCTAACAATTAACTGCAGAAATTAGGTAGCTTTGCAACATCTTGCTTCAGAATCAAATCATATATACATAACTGAAAAGGTCCCATCACATTTATGAAAATAATTATCCACAGGGTCTTTTAAAAATTTATTAATTAATATGAGCTGGGTTCCAATGGCTCATTTTCTTGCTTCACTTGCACGTTAGATGGGAAACCATTCGAACTGGACACGACCATCACAAACGGTTGCTGCTGGAATCTCTGCTCCGACTGCTCCATATCATCTGATCTGTCACTGTCTTCTTCTTTTATCCCTCCTTGCATGCCGACCTGTTTCGTTTCTGGCGCTTTAATAACCGAGGTGATCACCGTGCCCGACGGATGAGCTACCACCTGCGAGCTGCTGGGCGAAAATGTTACCACTGGGGTGGTGGCACTGAAGGATGGAGACGAAGCCATGTTGACTGTTCCATTGCAAATTGTCTGCACGCTGCTGGTGAGCACCTGCTGGACTTGTGCTGGGCTCAGCACAATCGAGGAAGGGGGCGAGACTGGCTTCTGGGACTGCAGCATGACGTTTTCTTTAAGCACCGTCATGGGTTGAGAAGTAGGAATGGCTTGTAAAATGAATTTTTGGGGCGTTGTTGCTGAGGCTGGATCCGTGCTGGCTATCACTGTAGTAAGAGGCACTGTCTGGAGTGTTACAGTATGCAGCTGCTGATTTCCAGGAGAAACAACCACCGGGACTTGGGTTGGAGTCTGTAAAGTCCTATTGAGATTAGAAAATATTATAGGGTCAGAACACTTCCGTGCTGAGTTCTGAAAAATAATTATAGATTTACCATTGAAAAATCACTTGGCATCGTCAACATTTCATTTGCCCAATGGTTCCAAAAGGGGTAGCAGTCACTCTCCTAATAAAACAAGAACAGGTCCTGACACCTGAATTCAGCAACTCCATTCCCAAAATAAAGGTGCCCTGCATGAATACTGCCATCACCAAACTGAGCAGCCTGCCCTTGAGACAGTCAGTAGTTCATCAGAAAACCTGGGAATCGCACCTAAAATCTCCTCGACCATCAGCCAACATCACAAGCATGACATACATGCCATCTATTTCACAAAGCACCCTAGAGTAATTTGTAAATCATGAGCCTAAATAATTCATAAGTCAAGGCACAATTCTCCTGACATCTGTATATACATTTACCAATATGCAAAAGTATCTGCACTGTAACAGCGAGTTTGGGCAGGACCTTCTAACACTCCAAAACACAGAGTTCTCTGTCTGCCAGGCTTGCACGCTCCTTCTGGTAACGCAACTGAACAGAATTTGCTCCCAAGACATCACTTTACATTAGGAATGATTCCATCAGTTGCAGGCTCCCACACTTGAGTACCGCGTTACTTCCTATACAGTTGGAGGGTTAACAGCTACACAGTACACAGCTAAGAGATGTGGCCATGCCCTCCAGTCATGCAAATAAAAACAAAACAAGCAAACAAAGAACCCAAACCACATCATACTCCTGATGAAGCAAACTATTTCCAGGGGAGGGAAAGAAGGGAAGGCTAACTGCTTCAATGCCCTCCCACAGCTTGCACCAGCCCACCGTGCCACACTGTCCCCAGCAATCTTCTCTTTCCTGTCCTACAAAGTTCTCTCCAACCTTCCTGCTTCTCTTCAGTGTTTCCTCCTGCCCACCCTCTTCCCCTTTTTTAGTTTTAAGTTCTCCCTTGTGTTTTCTTGAACATATTTCACCCTGACCAAATCTAAACATAACTGTCTCCTCCTCCTCCCAGCTTATTTATACCCCTGCTGAAATCACTTCAGATGTAAAGCAATTTACTGTCAACACTTGTACTTTCAAGTTCATGCAAAATACTGCATACTTTTCCTACTGAAGACTGGTCCTCAAAATTGCCATAAGGGTTGCCTGCAATACATCTACCAGGGAATGTCCTCCTTTCTATAGCCCTTCTACCCATGCAGTACCTATTTTTTTACAGCTCTGTGAAATCCTACTTGCCAGTGTTTAGTCATTGACTGAGTCAGATCAGACTCAGCATATCTGAAACTTCAGTTTAAAACCACATTCTGGCTATCACAGTTACAACAAAAAGCTTACCGAAGCAGGACTTATGTGATGTTGAAGCTACAGGGCAATGTGGATGCAGATGTTGCTGCTGGTGGTAATCCAGTTCACAGATTGCTCCAGCAAAAGCAGCTCCAGTAACGCAGCTGGTGTCAGGCTCAGAGCACATCTGTACTCCCTGAGCATCCTCCAGCTGCCAGTCCCAGCTGCAGGCAATCTTTTCCCCACCTCTTATGTGACCCAAAATCCGCATCTGTAGCTTTCTCTTCCTCACAAGAAAGAAGGTTGCACTACCTATGCTGCTATAGCAAAACAAATCCAAATCCTTGCCCACGAGGTTCCCACTTATCACAGAGGTCATAACAATCAGACACAGAATTTGATGTGACTGACACCAGAGTCGATTGCAAGCTCCTGTTTCACACAACTGGAGTGAGCCCACGGAAGAAGCTCATGGAAATGGGGGCTGGCTGGAAGCGATTACCCATTAAGTTACCCATTAAGAGTGATCACTTCTTTATTTCCAGCTTCAGAGAACTTGGTGATGCACAGCAAATACCAACAACTGAGCTTGAAGTGCAAGGCTCAGAATGAGAGCACCAAGACCCACACCAAGTCTGCTAAGGGTTATCAGTGCTCTTTTTCCCTCTCCCAACCCTCCCAGAAATTCCACTGGGACTTTAACAGAAAAATCATAAATGTGTCAGAAGTAGTTTCTAACAGCATCAGGGAACCCACTAGCTTTTAAAAAAACCCTTTAAAAAAACCTCCAAACTACCTACAGTTAAACAAACTTGCAGTAAAATAAAAATGTCACATAGATACAGCTCAACCCAGGAAAGTTTACAGAGACCAGCAATTGAGTGGAAGAGCTAAGAAGGAAAGACAACCGACATTTGCCATCAGAAAAGCATTAAAGGCATCAAAAGTAGATACCAAGCCAGCTCTTTAAATCCATGAAGAAGCTTACTTGAGCCTGAAGGACTAAGATCAAGTGGCAGTTTTGAAAGCAGCAGCAGAAGCCATCCAAGTGTTTGAAGCTACTTTCTTGTTCTTTAGCTGTTTTGTTTAAAAACAAAATAGTACAAATAAAAGCTTCTAACTGCTAAATGGCTGTAAAGGATAAACTCAAAAAATAGTTACTGGACCTAACCAATGCAGAAGGTCTGCAAAGCGCTAGGAGCAACAGCTCTGAGAGGACCAAACCAGACCGTTGGTCTTGGCATGCTGTAGTGAGTATTTGCATATTGATTTTGAGCCATTTTACTTCTCTTGAAAGCAAGTCCCACCGCTGTACATCATGCTGTGACTAACAGTTTACTCCAGGCACTCTACCTTCTCCATCAGTGAAGATACATATATGTGATACACATATATAAACATGTATATACGCATATGTGTACACACATACAGAGTGTGAACTTGCTACAGGGAAAGCAGGCAGCAGATGTCTGTACAAGCACAGGATGAATTAGCACACAGTACCATAAATACACACTGTTATTTATGCTAATGGTGGCCAAGCAAGACATTTCCCTTAATTGGTAAGACTACAGACAACTGTGTCTGTTGACATACTAAAATTCTACCTGCTCAAATTATTTGCCTTGAATATAATTGAAAAAAAAATACAGATCTAGTTAATAATTTTGCCTGTTTTATTAAAAAAAAGGTAGTACTTAAGGTGCTCTGTTAACACTGGGCTACGTTATTTTAGGTGCTTTGAACTTTGCTGTGCTTCTGAAGCTGCTGTCAATTTGCTAACGCCCTTCCTACTCTAAGGCACAAATCTATTGGGTGGTTACTTCAGAAGTTCCTGC